CTCTTCCTCCTCATCTTTCCCCCAGCTCCCGTTCCAGTGTAGATCCCTGACTGTAAGAAGGGTGTCTCTAACTTGGTGTGTGAACATGTGCGTTTATGAACATGAACATGTTGGGGAAGGTTAAACCTGTGGATTTTGGGATGATCTTAGTGTTCTCTTATTGTATATTGTCCTGATAATGCTTATAATGCACTTCCACTTTTAATTCCCTTTTCCCCCCACAGTTAAGGCTTCAGGGTTGTGCAGGGTATGGGGCATTGTTGTAAGTTCTAGGACTGCGTTCTCTTGGGATCTCCCTGGGCCTTTTCAGTCTTCTCAACCCTGATGTGGTAACCTCTTGCCCCTTGTTCATCTGCACCCAGCCTGGCTTCTCTCCCTCTTTCACACCCAGGCATGGCCAGGCACCTGTTTAGATTCTAGTGCCATCCTGTGAACTCACTCATCTTTCAGTGTGATTAGTGTACCAGGGAGCCAGGTTGCTGGGGGCGCTCATGTGGCACTCAGCCGTTCCATTTTGTCGACGAAAAAAGAGGGGAGAAACTGGCAGAAAGCAAAGACTTTTGCTGCTGGGTGAGTGTAAGCAGCTATTTTTAGTCCCCGAGCCTTAGCTTTTCCATTTGGCTGTGCTTTTTTAGCACAGTGCCGGTCCAGCAGGGCTGTTTTCCTTCATGGCTCCAGATGTCCTCAGGGAAAGTCTCCATCTGCCCCCGAGAAGGTGTGGACCGGGCAGAGGGGTGATGGCTTCTGAGAATGTGTTCAGCAGGCTTTGGAACCCCATTGCGGTCATGTCACAGGATCAGTTTGAGACAGAATAGGGAGGAGCGTGGTAGGAAAGAGGACTGAAAAAGGTGACTGCTGTATTCTTCAGAGATGTTCCCTACTACTCATTCAGTGAAACCTCTATTGAGTAAGTTGAGTAAGGAGGTGAATTGGAATGGAATGATCACCATGCAAACATTTTATAAGGGTGTGGGGCTAATACTGACATGTTCTGAGTTTTTCTTTTTAATTTATTTTTCTCCCCCAAACATTATTGTTCATTTTTCCACAGTATGGGATTTCTCCCCTCTGGTGTGGTCACCATAATTTTCCACCACCAGAGCACCCATAGTCCTCCACTGTAGTCCATTGTCTTCTCCTCCTGTCTGCTTTTGTACTCTCGCCTTCTCCTTTCCCATGTCCTGAGTTTTTCTAAGGCATTGTTTTTTTTTCTTTATGCTTTTTTAACCTAGATCATTTATCAATTTGGATTAAGTTTTGTTGACTTCATTCCAGTTTACTGGCCACCATTTTTCCAGCACTCCAAACAGAAGCCCTATACCCATTAAGCAATAATTTTATTTTTCTCCTCTCCCAGCCCTTGGTAGCCTTTAATCTACTTTCCGTCCCTCTGAATTTACCTGTTTAGATATTTCATTTAAGTAGAATCACACAATATCTCTACTGTTGTGTCTAGCTTATTTCATTTGATATGATACAATGTCTTCTAGTTTTATTCATGTTGAACCATGTATCAGAATTTCATTCTTTTTATGGCTGAATAATGTTCCATTGTATCTATAACAACATTAAAAAGAATCCACTTATTTGTTGATTCATACCTGGCATATTTCCACCATTTGGATACCGTGAATAAGGTGTTATATGAATATACACAATGAATGATGCTGCTATGTACATGCATGTGGGAGTAAGTAACTGTTTTCAGATGTTGGGTAGAATATATACCTAGGAGTGAAATTGCTGAATCATATGGTAATTCTATGTTTAGCTTTTTGAGGAACTGCCAAACCATGTCCCACAGCAGCTGCACCATTGTACATTCCCACAGGTTATGTACAATGGCTCCAATTTCTCCATTTCCTTGTCAGCATTTGTTATTTTCTATTTTTTATACACACACACACGTATATATAGTCATTCTGATAGATGTTAAATGGTATCTCATCCAAGGTCATGAAAATTCCCTTATGCTCTCTTCTAAGTGTTCTCCCCCCCCCACCCCCCGCCACACACAAAGTTGGCATAGCTTTATTTTAGTTTATTATAGATACAGAAATTATTTACATGATGAAAGATTTCAGAATTTCGGTGGAATGGGCAGCTTCACATGATCCCATTTCAATCGTGATTTCAGTCTACATACTTTCTAAGAATGTCACTGTCTCTCAAATAATCCTTGTCTAGAATTACTTTGGTGCTTCCTTATTCCAGAAGAACTAGACCTCCAGCTGTCACTCTACCTGATCGACTCTCTCCACTGTTTCTCTTAGAGCTCAAATCCAGCAGCTACTACTGTTGCTTGCAATACTTTTCTTTTTTCTTTTTTTTTAATAGAGGCATGTTTTATTTCTTTCTTTATTTGTTTGTTTTGTTTATACATGCACTGGGTACAGTCAGAAGCGCGGGAGGGTGAGAGAATTCACCAGAGCCAGAGCGGAGAGCTGAGCAGGCAGAAGGACCGAAGTACACTGCTGAGGGGAGCAGTGGGCGGCAGGAGAGGTCTGCGCGCCATGCAGGACCCTCCTCCGGTGGCCGGGGAGCAGCCGGGGATCGAACTGGCGCTGCAGAGGCCGCGGGCAGCTTCTCAACCCAGCGCTCAACCGCTGCGCCACCGGGGAGGCCCGCTTGCAATACTTTTCCTTGAGATTTTTCTGGAAGCATAGTGCCTCCTTTGGTTATCGTTTCAGCTGAGCTCTTTTCAACTAATACTGGTCAAAGAGGGGAAGAAACTTGGGCCTCCCCGGTGGCGCAGCTGTTGAGCACTGGGTTGGGAAGCTGCCCGCAGCCTCTGCAGCGCCGGTTCGATCCCCGGCTGCTCCCCGGCCACCGGAGGAGGGTCCCACATGGCGCGTAGACCTCTCCTGCCGCCCGCTGCTCCCCTCAGCAGTGTACTTCGGTCCTTCTGCCTGCTGTGCTCCCTGCTCTGGCTCTGGTGAATTCTCTCACCCTCCTGCGCTTCTGAATGTACCCAGTGCTTGTATAAATAAATAAATAAATAAATCTTTAAAAACAAAACAAAAAAAAACCCAAAAAAAACAAAAAGAGGGGAAGAAACTTTCTAACTATCTGTCCTGCCATGACTCCGGCAGGGCACACACTGTTCTGCTGCCACAGAAAAGAGAGACCCACAGTCTGGCCTTCTGGACATGTGAATCCTAAGTGTTCTTGCTCTTAAATTTAGTTCTAACCCATTTTTGAGTTATTTTGTATATGGTATAAAGGAAACACCCACTTCTTTCTTTTGCAATATGGATATCTGATTTCCCAGCACTTTTTTTTAGAGCTGCTCTTTCCCATTGAAAGGCCTTGGCACCCTTGTTGAATATCACTTGATCATATATGTGATTATTTCTGTGTTTCTATTTTATTTCCTTTTTATAATTAAATTTTTAATAATTTATTTTCTTACACAGTTGTTTATTTTTGTACAGTTTTGATTTCTTCCTTCAGGTATAGTCACCATAGTTCTATCACCACAGGACCCGTGATCCATCTCCACTGTCCCTTGTGCTCCTCCTTCCCCTGTTTTGCCCTCTCTCCCTCCACTGCTGTATGCCTCAGATCTATAGTTAGCTTGCAAGTTTTGTCTTGACCCTTTGTTTGATTTCTCTATATTCCATGTATAAGTGAAACCATTTGATATTCATCTTTTTCCTTGAGTTATTTCACTTAATGTAGTCCCTTCCAGCTCCATTCATAGTGCACAAATGGCATGAGTTTATCTTTTTTTAATTACTGAGTATTCTACTGTATGTATATACCACATCTTCTTGATCCATTCATCTGTTCATGGGCATTTGGGTTTCTGTATCTTAACTATTATAAACAGTGCTTCAGTAAACACTGGTGCAGGTTTCCTTTTGAATTAGTATTTTTGTGTTCTTTGGGTAGATTCCTAGGAGTGGAATTGCTGGATCATAGGATAGTGTTTTTTTTTTTTTTTTAAGATTTATTTTTTATTTATGCAATAGCTGGGGTACAGGCCAGAAGTGCGGGAGGGTGAAAGGATTCACCAGAGACAGAGTGGGGAGCAGAACAGGCAGACTGGCCCAAAGTATACTGCTGGGGGGGAGCAGCAGGCGAGACTGGAGAGGTCTGCTGTGCCATGTGGGTTTCTCCCTGGCTGGCGGGGAATTGAACCCGCGCTGCAGAATCCCACATGGTGCAGCAGACCTCTCCTGTCTTGCCCGCTGCTCCCCTCAGCAGTGTATTTCATCAGTCTGCCTGTTCTGTTCCCCACTGTGTCTGTGGTGAATCCTCTCACCCTCCTGCACATCTGGCCTGTACCCCGGTTCTTGTATAAATAAATAAATCTTTAAAAAAAAAAACAGCAACAACAAAACACAAGATCTTTGAGATTTTGATAGGGATTGCATTGAATGTGCATATTGCTTTGGGTAGTATTGTCATTTTAATAATATTAAATCTTCATTCCATGACTGAGGGCTATTCATTGTCAGTCATTTTAATTTTGACACCTACCTGCACTTTGGTTTGACTATGTGAAAAGTAATGTGAAAGGTTTTGTGGTTTGGGAATATTGACTGTTAGTGGTTTGGGGGGATGCTGATGGCATCTGTTACCAAGTGTTAAAAGTGGTTATGGTTGAGAAGTGAATGGTTATAAAGGCTTTTTCAGATTTGGGCCCATCTCTGTTCATATACATATCAGTTAGTTTCCTTTTCTCTTCTCCATAGTCAAAACCACTCTATGCAACTAATAACAAGTTGTTAATGAGGAAGGACGGAAGCAGGATATAGTAGCTCATGCAAGGCTTGTCATTGCCTATGCAGTTCCAGCTAAGGCATAGCTCCCCTTTTGTGACTGGACTCCCTATGGGAAGCGAAGGTTTACTTCACATTGATCTGCCCTGCGGTAGGGCACCTGTGATATCTGTATTCATCCACTGAACAAGTGATATCATGGGAGCCACCGTGCTGGAAGGTCAGGCACCAATTTTTTCTTGACCTTCTGTTTCCTATGTTTACATTCCTCAGGTCTCTGAATATGCCTTCCCATGCCTTGCCCCTATCTGGGATGGCACCTCTGTGTATGCTGTTTGGGCTGCTGATGGCTTGCTGCTTCACCTTCTGCCTTAGTCATCAGGACCTGGTAAGAGTCTTATCACAAGTAAAGGGATCTCTATTGGGGTCATAGAAAAGCCTTCATGTCACGAGGGCTGCTGTGGGAGTGGGTGAGGTTTTATTGTTCCAGTAGGAATATGACCAGCATTGGATTACAGAGTATATATTCTTATTCCCCATCCCTGAGTCCCCTGGCTTCTGTTTAAAGGTCACGGCACAGTTTGCCTTTGGGAAAATATGATGATGATAATAACTTTACTGTGTACCATTGATTAAGTGGATTGTTATTATTCATCACAATTGTCATTTGCACTTCAAGGGCCTCCTGCTCCAAATGACAACAAAAATCACAAAATCTTTGAGATTTTGATACAGGAGCCCATGGGGTTAGGGGCTTTCTATATATTCTTAATCTCCCCAGCATCTCTATGAAGCAGACAACTATAATTATTATTCTCATTTAGAGAAGGAGTAGATGCTAAGGTTCAGAGAGATGCTAAGGTTCAGAGAGTAATTTGGCCAGAATCATGCAGCTAGTTTGTGGCAGAACTGGGAAAGTCAGGGTTCTTCCCAGGAGCTGGGTGCTGTCGTGAGCACCAGTTTCAAGTAAGGATGCTTCTTCCTCGGCTCCCCTCTTCTTGGTGTTTGCTCACTCTGCCCATATCTCTGTATTCTCTTTCCTCCTTTTTTTTTTTTTCTTGTCCTTTCTTTATTAACCTGTACCTTATTGCTCAGGATTTCTGTCTTTGCCACAGGCAGGAAGAGAATGCCCGAGAAGGCCATGATCTTGGTCTGGCTGCACGATGTTGAACCCTGTTTCTTGGCTTCCTCCAGTACCTGCCTGTCCTTGACCCAGTGCCCTCTCTTTCCCCTCCCTTGAGAAGCCCTGACTGTCGGCTCTATTAATGGCTCTCTAGCCACCTTCCTAACCACAGGGACTCCCACTAAATGTTGGGTAAAGTGCTGGAGGCTTTGGCCTGGGAGGCCCTTGAAGTGCAAATGACAATTGTGATGAATTTAATAACAATCCAGCTCTGCTGAGATTCACCTCTGGCTCATGGCAAGCTTCCACCTTCTCTCTGAAGTCATTTGTTTTCTCTCTACTTTGTGAGCAGGAGAGAATGTTCAGTTAAGAGTCACAAATTCTTTCGAGTTTTTAGTGTTCTCTGCTAAGATCTTGTTTGTACCTTTTTTTTCCTTTGGCTTCCTCTTCAAGAACAATGAGAATGGGATCCCAGTGACCCTTGAGTTGTGGGGCCTGGCCACAGCATAAGAATGAGTCTGTTTCTGACATAACCTGGCTCAGAAAAGCACCCAAATGTCTCAAGGGATCAGGGTTGTGTCCCCTCATACCTGCAACTCATAAGAACCTGGGTGCTCCTCATAATGAGATTTGGCAGATGTACAATTAATAAACATGTGCTGATGAATTTACTTAAGGACCGTGTGTTAGTAAGTCCCTTTTGGATAATAATCCAACCAAACAGACGTGCTTTCAGAACCATAATTATTCTGGTCCATTTATATTAGCTCTATTGAGTCTAGTCTCAGAAAAATGTTAATACTGACTTTCATCAACAGAAACTGCTTTTATCCTTATGTCTGTTCTTAAGCCGTATCCATTTGTCATAATCTTTCATCATGTGCTGAACACAAGTAGGAGTTGAAGCATCTTTTTCTCTCATACTATAGAAATTGCTGCCCCGATGGCATTTAAAATCCAAATTATGCAGCCAGCCACCTTCACAGAAGTGAAAATGGGCAGGGAGAGAGGAAGGGGTGATTATGATCCTTTTCTTCAGAGCCTGGTGTCCAGGCAAGTGCTCCTGGTGACCTGGAATTGTCTTCCCCATGAGCCTTTGTGCAGATTAGTGGTCATCCAGGAGGGGTCGGCTGGGTGTATCATTGTATGTTCTCCCTTCTGGCTAATGCTGTAACACCTCCCTGGGATATCACATCTTAGGAGCAGTGAATGCTGAAGGGATGTGGTTTTGAGGTATGCTGGAGTTCTTCAAAAAGTGAATGATCGTGGTGAACGGTGAGGAAACGAGTGGAACCCAATGGAAGGAGCACTTGGCAAACACCCTTTAGCCATCTACTTTGGAAATTGGACTTGTATTTCCTTATTTGTAAAACAGGATTGGTACCTTCCTCTGAAGATTTTAGTGTCGATTAAATGTGACTATTGATATAAAGTACCCAGACTTGGCACTGGCACAGTATGGTCAATGGATGGTCAATAAAAGTCAGCTTTTATTTTCAGTAAGGGAATGGCTATTTCTCACTTTAATTTGGGACTGTCTGGTAGGCTCCTGTCCCAAAATGTTGCACCGCAGCCTGTCTCTGTCACAGTATCTAGCAATTTACCATTAGAGATTCATTCATTCTCTTGGATCTTGAAGGCTTTGGTCTTTAAGACTCTCTTATTCATATACGTATGCAAGGAAGTGTGACGTGGTAAGCTGTTGTCGTGGTAAGCCGTTGTCAGCTAACACCTTAGGTGGGAATTCTTGACAGTCAGTTGAGAAGAAATTGGTGTTTGGATTGGTGGTGGCAAAGAGAAGAGTGTACTGAGGATTCATCATGAAGAGAACCCTGAGAAGTCAGCTGAGAGGGCACCAGAGCTTGGGATTTACTTCAGAGCTGACTACGGCCTGGCCTGTCTTTGTTCGCTCTTGGTCTTCCTCTCTTATTCAGGACACTGCCCTGGCAGAGAGAAGGTGGTTGTTTCTCTGGGACTTTGTTTTCTCACCTATTCTACAAAAACCTTCCCTTGGGAAGGGGCTATGCTGGCAGATGTGCTATGGTATTCTTACTGCCCTCATTTCTTTCCCTCAGCATCCAGGGCACAACAGTTGGGACCCATGTCTAAGAACAGAAACTCAGAAGTGAGTCAGGGTCTATGCTTGGACTTTGGAGCCAGGCAGACCTGGACTTAAATCTCTGCTCTGCTTTTATCAGCAGTACGATTTTCAGCTGGAAAATGGGAATAAAAGTAGGTGTTCACAGATGAAACTTGGATGAATTGTGAGGCATGGAGGGCATTTTAGCCCAGTGCTGGGCATCTGGCAAATGTCAATAAATGATTACTGCTGTCATCATTATAATCTCATCCCTGTAATGCTGCTTTTCTTCAAAACCTTTTCTGGAGTTACACTTTTGAACTGACTGACTAGCTTGATCATGTGACTGATTTCCCTCAGTGCTTGCCAGATGTGACTTGTGTAGACAGTTGACTGTCAGATTTGGTGAACAAGGTGAGCTAATCAGATAGGGGAGCATCAATTTTTATTACACTCACTGAAAACCGAAATGTACTGTAAAATAATGGCAAATTGTGTGTGTGTCTATGTGTATACAGCTTAAAACCTGGTTCAGAAATGATAGACCAAGAATAAGCTCAAAAAACATTTTGAGGGCCTCCCCGGTGGCGCAGCGGTTGAGCGCTGGGTTGCGAAGCTGCCTGCGGACTTTGCGGCGCCGGTTCGATCCCCGGCTGCTCCCCGGCCACCGGAGGAGGGTCCCACATGGCGCGCAGACCTCTCCTGCCGCCCGCTGCTCCCCTCAGCAGTGTACTTCGGTCCTTCTGCCTGCTCTGCTCCCCGCTCTGGCTCTGGTGAATTCTCTCACCCTCCCGCGCTTCTGACTGTGCCCAATGCGTGTACAAAACAAACAAATGAATACATAAATAAATAAATAAATAAATACATGCCTCTCTTAAAAAAAAAAAAATAAATAATAAAAAAAAAAAAAACATTTTGAGCAGTGAAAGGACTGTTGCAAAAGTGTTTAGTGTTTATTCTTCTGAGAGCTTGAAGCATGTGGCTTAGAGGCTCATCAATCTTACTCAAATCCTTCTTCTTGAAAGTACTCAGTTAACTGTGTTAAAGAAATCTAGAAAAAGAGACTTTCCTGGCCCGCAGTTGTTAAAATGAACACTAACTAGCCCTACCCAGATTTTGAAAGTCTTTCTGCCATATTCTCATCCATCATCCCCATTCCCTTTGCCTCTTTCTGCTTCCCTTGATGATGAGAATTGGGTTGCTCACTTATGACTACACCTGCCAGAAGTTACTGGCCAGTAGTACACTAAAGCCAGAATTGGGATTTAAAGCTTAGAGATATTTAGTTTGGCTCTCTTACTGTTCTAAAAATAAGAAAATGTGACATAAAAATCCAGATTTCTGTTTCTCTTCAAGTTGAATGCCTCATGGCAGTGGTGGGCCTGCTGAATAGCAGCTGCGTTCCTTTGTCAAGGCTGGAGGTCCACAGTCCCTTCAGGTCCTGTTGTTTTACACCTTGTCGGAGAGGCTTCTTTACAGCCATCCCTCCCTGATCCCTGGGGGCATTTGACTCATTCACCTCTGAGGGGAAATTAACATTCTCCTCGTCCTACCACACACTGTGTGGTGCTTCTGGCAGAGGCTGACCAGAGGCTGGGTGCCAGAGCCACAAAGACTTAGTGGTCTGGTGTCTGGCTTCTGGTGGTCTTGGCTACTTTGGGCTTGCCTCAGTCCCAGGCATTCTTGCCTGCGACACATGGCTGCCTGTAGGAGGGAGGTGTTCCTTCTTTCCTTTGTTCAGTGATTTCAAACAAAGCCCCTGTGCTAGTCATGGGAGTGTAGTGGTGAAAGAGATGGACCCAGTGCCTGTCTCTGGAAACGTGGCTGTTAGAAGTTGGATACCCATGCCCTCAGGCTATGGAACGCCACCTGACAGTCTGTCTTTACTCACACAAGCATGTTTAGTCTTCTGTTCCTGATTTTCTTTTGAGCTCAGATGAGTGCAAATTTTAAGCTGAAGGTTTCAGAAGAGTTTAACAGGCCAGGCTGCACTGGTGAACACAATCCCAAACCCGACTTACTGGAACAATGCCATTTTGTGTAGTCAGTGTTGGATGTCACAGCACAGACCCATCCAACCTGTCATTGCCTTTACAAGAAACATGCGTAGCAGCTGTCATACTCAGGGTAGTACTTCATCTAATGTGTGAGCTACATGTTATTATTTTCACTTTACGAGTGTGGAAACTGAGATTTAGAAAGTTAAATAACTTTCCCGGAGTTGCAAGAAACTGTATTCAAGCTTTGGGTTCTCGTAACACTGTGCTGTGCTTCTCATTATTGTTACGTGATTTGAGGACCTTTTCTTGCCTAAGGTGTTTTCGTTACTGGTCCTTAACAAGACTTGAAATTCTGCTGTCTGAATTTCATGCCTTTATTTCCTATTAAAATGTAAAGATCTTTGGAGGGGCTTTATATTATCATCATCAATACCTTGTCATCATCAATACCTTGACATCATAACCTTTCTTTTTGCAACTAATTAAAGATCAGACCCTGAGGGAACCAGGCAGGTGGGGTGTTTATCTAGAGCTGGGGCACTGCTTGAAAGAGATGCATAGTTACCTCCTTTGCAGGGCTGGGGTGGTTAGGAGACGGAAGAGAGAACTATGTAACATACCTAGCACAGATTTGAGTTCATAGGAGGAACCCACAAAATATACTTACTATTATTAGGGGAAGATGTGGAGGGAAAACGATGGTAGGGAGGTGGGAGGGCTCAAATTGCCTCCCAGTGTGCCAGTGTGAGTTCCTCCTTACGCTCCCAAATGTAATTTCCCAGAGTTCTGGAGCCCTCTGGTTCCAATTTCCTGAAGCTTTACTGCTTTTATGCAAGAACAGGTTTAAAAATGGGATGGGAAGATGGGAGGTTGGGAAGGAGCAAGATGAATAATACTTTGTATTTTTCTTGCATCTCTGTCTCCTGAGCTCAAACTGCTCCACAGACACCATCTCATTAATCCAAGAAACTGGTTTTAGGAACCTTCCTCCCTCAGCTCAGCTGGACAGCTCACCTTCCCATTTGCAACCCCTCTGGATTGCAGTGTCCCAAGAGGTCATTTATGCCCTGTAGGCACCTGGGGCACTGCCAGGGCCCTCACTGTGCCCTGCTGGGCTGTCTAGGAATCGGCTGAACCTCAACCGCCAGCTTTTGTACATCTTTATTGGTCATTTGAGCCTTTCTCTCCAGTTCATATGTGTGTTTTTTCTTTGATACATATCTTTATGTTTTTAATTGCAGGAGTAATAGGTAGCAATTTTACACATCAAACAGTACAGTAAAGTAGCAAGTAAAAAAAGCTCTTCTTGTCTCCTTTACCAATCCCTCTTTTCTGTATGTTCCCTTAATCACCTTGAATATGGAAAAATTTTCCTTATGCACATACATAAGGCCCATATACACGCAACAACATGCTGTGTTCAATTAACCGTGTCACCTCACTTGTGCTGGGTCTGTAGCTAACCTTGTGAAAGGTCCAAATGTGGCTGGGAGGGGGAGTGGGGTATGGAGGAGAAATGAAAAACCTCAGGCCATTTTCTTTCTGCCTGGTGCCTGAATGTGGTGGGTCATGCCGTTTTCTTTTCTCTGAAGGGGTTCGCACTGACAAGCCCAGAGAAGAGCAGCACCAAAGACACGGAGAGAAAGGAAATCACCAAGGAGGAGGAGCTGGAATCTGAGGTCCTGGAGGTGCTTCACCCCACCCACGAGTGGCAGGTCCTTCGACCAGGTACCGAGTCCAGCCCGTCTCCGTGAACACACTCTGAATTGAAACTGCATGTGTCCTTTGTCCCCACAGGCCTGCTTTATAGGAGCAGCCACTCTCTGGCCCACCAGAGGGAAAAGTGTGGTCTATCGGAGTGGTGACTGCTGCTGTCAGTCTCAGGGGCCTTCATTTTCCAGGAGAAAAGAGATTGTGGCATCTGAGTGCCCTGGAAGGAAGGGAGGTGGTGGGTGGCCGAGCTTTCTGAGCAAGTGATTGAAAACTTTCTTCCCTTGCACTTCTGAAGCACAGGAGAGGTAATGACATGTGCCTTGCTCTGCAAGTGCTATTTTGGGCTCTGCTGCTCGGCTCAGTGCAGCTAAAATATTGTTCACAGGAGAGTCCTGAGCATCAGTGTGGGGCAGAAGTGTTCTGTTGCTAAAGGAACCTGTGCCAAGAAATGGGCTGGTTCTGGCCTGGTTTTTAAATGGGTCATTCTCAGAAGGACAAATTTCTAACCCTTTTATAAGCTTGGACTCAGAGCTTAAAATAATAATGAAAATAGCCAGCAATTGTGGAGTGTTTGTCATAATCAGGTATTCTGTTCAGTGCTTCTTGTGTATAGTCTTGTTCATGCTTCACAATAATAGGAACTGTTACTATCTTTATTTTCAGATGGAAACATTGATGCTAGGAGGTGTTGGGTAACTTGACCTATGTGATTCACCTCTTATCCTAAGTCATTCCTCCAGAGCCTGAACCCAGCTTCCTCCCACTTGTCCTTCTACTCCCAGCTGTCTTGACTGGAGCCCCTCTATAGTGACATTCAGGCCTGTTCTCAGAAGTAGGCTCTTTGTATTCTGCCCCGTGGCTAGGTGGATGGTAAACCCTGGCACCTGCCAGGGTATTGTTTCATGAGCTCCTTGTTGATACTCATCACCGTGTTCTTACTGCCCCAGTGCTGCTGTGCTGGAAGAGGCAGTGTTTGCTGTGCCAGCCAACATTCTAGTAGTAATAGCACTCCTGCTGGACTTGCCTACTGGTAGTTGCTGCCACCAAAGAATGATGAAGCACCAAGCACATCACCTATGAGTAATAAAGTTGGGTAGAGGGAGCTTTTAGGAACAGAGGTACTGGGTTCAGCAGATCCAACCTCTGGCTTCCCTCCTCCAGCGTCCCTGAGATCTTTGATTTCAGGGAACTAAAGTCCCCTGATCCCTGAGGACTAAAATTAGAGGAGCCCTTTGGGGTAGGGAGTAGAAGATGGATATTATGCTGGTTTTATGAGGTAAAAGTGCTTGTACCAGTTTTAACCATGCAAAAGCCTGGCCCAAATAGCGATTGATGTCCTGTGCCCATGCTTCAACCCTATCTGTTCCTGTAGCACCATCAGAGGTCTAGTCCACATTTCAGAACAGTCCTACAAGTCTGACCGGGGGTCCTTGCCAAGCCCTCTGTTAATGGCTAAGCATAAGAGCCCTTCTCTGTGTCTTTGAGTTGCGGGAAAACCAGAACTCATGTGACAAGAGTAGGTGTAGAACTCTGAGTGCCTCCTGGAGAATTAGAATGGAGCACTGGTTTTTTACATTTAACTGGATGCCTCACTGACATTAACCTTTGCCTTCCAATTTCTCAAGAATTTCTTGAAATATTTTCTGCTCCAAACTTCTTGAAGTTGCCCCAAAGTCTGTTATATAGGGATTGAGCATTGACGCTCAGGTCCTGCACCTCAGGGTCCAAAGCCACTGTGGTTCCAGTCATATCTGCGTCTCCTAAAAACTGCCCAAGAATATTTTTTGTCTACACGTTGCCCAAGTTTGACAGGTGAGGGAAGATTAGGTGTGAGGCTTGTTGTGGCCTTGGGATCTGATGTGGGATGATTCAGAGCTTGGCACGGGGGAATCAGATCATTGCAGCAGGTCTCTGCTAGGCCTCGGTACATGACTGAGGTGTTCTGTGTGTATGTTGAGATAGTTTTGTATGTGTGTCTATTGGTGGGAATTCGATCTCTCAGTGGTTTGTGTGGGTATCTGGCTCTTGACTTCAGAGTATAATATTTAATTCACCATGTTCTAAATGCTGCCTGTAAGCTTTCAGAACAGCTCCTTAAATGTTAAAAGTGGTGTAACCAGTTCTGGGAACTTTTTGATGGGTTGATAAATACGGGGTAGGCAGGGGGTGGGGAGAGGAGTGTAATTTAGTGATAAGGGGGATAGACTTTAGACATAGCCAGTCCTGGGTCCACATTTTTTGGGGCAAGTCACTAAATTCTTCTGCCTTTCAGTTTCACCGTTGGTAATGTAGAAGTAGGGGAAATTGGTGACATGGGGGGAATGAGAAATGTCCTGCCCTGCCTACTCTATAGAGGTGTGGTGAGGATCCTTGACTTGGGGATGTCACTCAGTACATAGCAGTTCTGATTTTAAGCAGCAGAGTCTCCACTTGTGTGCCACTCCTTAAACTCAATTATGGAATTGGCTGCCAAGGAGGATCATCACTGTTTTAGCCTTCCTGTTCTCTGGCATTCGATGGGAAAAGGAACTTGCACTGTGAAGGAGAGACTTATATGGTCACCCTCTACAGAGATTTTGATGAGGGAGCAGAAGAGTTTAGCCCAGCGTTTCTACCTGAGAGTCAGGGATGTAGCTCAGAAAGATGATGGTCTTTCTTTCAGGAACTTTGAAGAATATGGCAAAATGACTACCTTGTGTTGACGGTTATTGATCCCAGTTTAGTACCTTCTGTCCCCTCAGGCCTCCAAGGATATACTGGGGTACAAGACCTGGGTTCATTGGAAGGCAGATTTCCAGCCTTCCAGGGACACCAGGGGATAAGCCCATGACCTCGTGGAACTTCCCACCAGGCCTGGTGAGAATTGGGTGCCAGCCACTTAGCCCTGGAGTATCTGCAGGCCGCTGTCCCAAAGTCTGCCTCTCTCTGTTATTACTGTCAGCATCCTCACTGTGAGCTGCTTGTTCCTGGAAATGATTTTCCTGTCTCTCTTTCTTCTGGTTTATTTTGGGATCTGTCTCACCTTACGGAGGCACAGCAAGCATTTGAGTGTGGATTCAGCATCAGCTGTTCACAAGCAAGCAGAGGAAAGCTGTTTGTTGGCAGGTTCCTATGGGTTCTGGGCATGGAACTCAACAATTTGTCATGTGGCTGAGGACCCCTATACCCCAGGACTTGGTGCCTATGTGTTTATTATAGAAAGCCAGTCACAGCTCCTTGGTATTTTCTAGTGGACTTCTGCCGCCCCCCCCCCCTAGCATTTTCTGAGATCTTGTTTTGTCTCCAGCACTGTACTGCTAGCTGGAGATGCAGATAATCTTACATTTACCGAGCATCAACTGTGCCAGTTATCCTTTGAATGCAGGGACTGTAACGACCCTCATTTTTATATACAAAACTGAGTGTGAGAGAAGTGACTTAGCCAAATGACCAATTCGTGATAGAATCAGAATTCATACCTAGTTTGTCTGGGACATGACCACTGCTGTCCAGAAGCTTATGGCCTAATAGAGGAAGCAGAAACAGAAGAAGCCACCAAATGTTTGGAATATCCTGGTGGAAGTATCTTGTGCTTTAAATGTGGGCACAGAGAATGGTCTGGGAAGATTAGGGCCTCTTCTCTATAACTGTGGAATCAGTAACACAGATTTTAGGATGCTGAACCTCCAATACTACCTTCAGTTCTCTTCTTTCTGTGTGGCTTTGGCCAGGATGCTTAGAATCTCTGAAGCTTCGTTTTACTCATTGGAAAATAGGAATGACAATACCTACTTCACAGAGATGGTGTGAGACTGATATAAAATTAACATCTATAAAATGTTATACACAGGGCCTCGCACATAGGAAATATTCAATAAGTGGCTATAATTATCATTTGAAAACAACAACAAAAACCAACAAAACCTTTGCTTCCTCCCTGGCCCCTGAAAGGGAAGTGGAAGGGATGAGGCAGCCTGGGCAGAGGGCCCCCATTCCTGCTCATTAGCTTGAGCTGCATGTTGGCCCCACAATGGGCTCAGGAACCTCAAACCTGGGGCTTCTTATTGACCTCAGCTGACTTTCAGGCTGCTGTGAGAACCTCTGAAATATTGACATTAGCAAAAAGAGCCGACTTGATGGGAGCTCACAGGAAGCTTGTGCAGGAACACATTCATGTGAGAGGGTTAAAAAAAAGGAAAAGAAAAAATATCCAAATCATCAACAACTGATGAGAGCAATCCAAGAATTACAGAGCACCCGCCATCTGGTCAGATCATTTCAGATCTGCACGAGCAATAGGAGGGAATTGAATTTTAAAAACCTCATTTATAGTAGACCAACTACTCTGTTTCAAGTATTTAAGAGAGGAGTCTGATTTCCTGTAGACCTTGGACATCTGTCTGAAGGAGCACCTGGCTCTGGCCTGGGTGACTCTGCGAGATTATCACCGGGAGGCCTTCGACTCCTTGCAGCTTGGAAGGGGCTGTGTGATTCCCAATCCTTGGATAACAAGTTGGTGTTCCACAGTTCAGTGCAATTCTGACACTGTCTGCCTGGCTCCAGGTAGTCAGGTCCCATAAATTAAAGGGCTGAGTCCCACTGCTTCTACTTCAGAGTTCAGTCATGAGTCCCAGGCCACTCATACTTCTAACTAACCATCTATGCCCTGGGGATTCCCACAGCCCCCTCTTCAGGTTGATAATTTAGCTTACAAAACTCAGGAAAAACAGTTTACTTAAGTTTATTGGTTTATCATAAAGGAAATAACTCAGAAACAGCCAAATGGAAGAGATGTGTAGGGCTAGGTGTTTAGGGATAGGGTGAGTAGAGCTTCCATGCCCTCCCAGCACTTTGAGGTGTTCACCATCCCAGAAGCTCTCTGAACTTTGTTAAGGGGCTTTCGTGTAGTAGAGAGGCACATTTAATTAAATCATCAGCAACAGAGATTGAACTCAATCACCAGCCTCCCTCCCCTCCCTGGAGGTTAGGGGATTGGACTAAAAGTTCAAACTCTAATCAGGGATTGGGCTTGCTGG